GGAAGGCCTGACTTAGTCCACAGACTGCTTGAGTATCCTCAAAATGTGGCATTGTCTTCCCCCAGAGTTAATGGAGAGTTGATGGTTTGTAAGCACAAGGTGGAACCTCTAGTGTTTTTTATGGCTATGCCTCAGAAGTCATACACTGTTAGGTAGCCATAATTCACGACGGGAGGGGGCTACCCAAAAGCATGAAAACCAGGAAGCAGAGATCACCAGGGTTTGTTGTGGAGGTTGGCTACTACAATTTAATAATGCTTATTAAAGAAATTTTGCATATCTCTTGCCTGTATCTTCAAGTCTGGATGCCATGAAGATTTGTAGTTGGAACTTTTGCTGACACTGAAAAGAAAAATGCTTGAGATAGTGATGAGGATTTGGTCAGGTAGTATAAACACTAAGGTGAAAGGAAAGATAAAGCAGTTATCTAATGTTTCTCTCAGTTTGAATATAGGAGAATTTTGCATGATAAATTATTATTTCCTAGTAATTCAAAGTTTCTATTTTCCTGCTTCTCTCTTTATTTGTATTTGATTCCAGAGGCAATATGTGATATTTGTAGTAGTTACACTTGGGAACTAAGAAATATTTTGCATTAAACAACTGATATTCTTAAAATTTGCATTTATATAAGTATCAACATAAAATTTATGAAACATGATAAAAATTCTTTACATTGGCAACCAGATAGATACAGAATGCTTGAATAATAGTTTTAAAGTGTAAGTATTTAATTAGTAAAAAATGTGAAAGGTAAATATAAACATTTAAATATATTTAATTTTGATATTCATTAATTAGGACTTGCAATAGAAAATAGAGTAGAAAATCTTCAAAGAGGTAGCCTAATTAAATTTTTAGAAGCTTGGGCTGGGGTTGTGGCTCAGTGGTAGAGCCCCCGCTCAGCATGTGCGAGGCCCTGGGTTCGATCCTCAGCACCACATAAAAATAAATAAAATAAAGGTATTATGTCCAACTACAACTAAAAAATAAATATTAAAAATATTTTTAAAAAATTTTTGGAAGCTAGAAACTGTGAGTACACATATTGACCATTACCTACAATAAAATTTACAAATAAGACTTTTATACAATTCTCTACTTAAAGAAGACAATTAACAGTTTTATCAGTTTTCTATTTCTGATGCTATTTAACAAATTCTAGAAACTCAACAGCTTAAAACTGCTCACAGTTTTCATGGGTTACAAGTTGAGGTACTACCTAACTAGGTCTTCCACTTAGATCATAAGACAGCAAAGTTTCATCTGAGCTGCATTATCATCTGAAGGTTTGACTTCCAAGCACATTCACACCATGGGAAGAAGATATTTCCTTGAGGTTGGAGAACTGGGAGCCTTGGCTTTTTTCTTCCTCTTGATTAATAGGCCATCCTTAGGTGCCATAGACTATTGGTTCCTAGAGGTCTTGCCAACAGGCTTCCCCAAAACAGCTGCTTACTTCATAAGCTTGACAAGGAAACTAAGATAGATAGTTATATAGTTTAATATAAACCCAGCAGTGACATCCTATCACCTTATATTCTTTTTGTTAGATGAAACAAGTCATTGGTCACCTTATATTCTTTTTGTTAGATGAAACAAGTCATAGGTGCTGTCCATACTCAAAGGGAGAGAATATCAGACAAAAGGATAAGTCATTAGAGATCACTTTAAATTCTGTGTACTAAACTCATCAGTGGAAATGAGGAAGAAAATTATTCACAAGTTGAGATCAGATGAAGTTCCTGAAATTTCATGTTCGTTATAACATAAAACTTTATAACTTATTAAAACAAAATGTAAAAAAGAGAACTAATTACAACACAGAAGCAATGATACAACTCTGTCATGCCCATTGGAAGATGAAACTGGCAAATGGGCAAAAGTGAAAATTCTGGAGATTTCCTATCTCTATTTGATATTAATACTGGAAAATGACTATTATATCATTTGGCAATGTTAAGATGTTTCTAGGAAAGCACAATTCTGACTTAAATTAATGATTATGATATTCTACAGGGGAACAAGACATAAAATATAATATTTCATTGTTACAAATTTTTTCAAGTAGAGAAAATATAGAATCTATCTTTTATATACCAAAATCAAAAGCAAAGTATTTTGTTACTACTATTTCCTATTTCCAACAAATCCTAAAGATTTTTTTTTTTTTGGTAATGAAGAAATATGGTTGCAAACATTTAGATTTATGATTAAAACAATATGGAACTTCATCTCATTGGAAAAATGTGTCTGTAGTTACTATTGAAATAACAACTGAATAGACATGTAACAAACGATGAAATATTCAACATTATAGACATTGGAATGATGTTTTTTAAAGAAAATTTTCTAATATATAGCCAAATGTAATGGTGTTTTATGGTATTAACTGTATAACATTTAATAAATCAAGAATTATCTAGAATTAGAAATCATTTTTGAGTTGAAATAATGATCAACATGTAAATAGAATTAAAAGATGATAAAATTATGTCTATCTAGATTAGAGAATTAAGAAGGAAACAAAATGTTTAATGTATAGTAAACTGAAAAGATACATAATACATAAAACTTTAAAGTAGATTTTATTCAGTTCAGCTAAATTGTTTCAATGACAAAGTCAAGATGAATGGCTGATACTTATTACACATGTTGTTGAAATAACAGAAGAAAAAGGGGAAGTTGAAATTAACAAGTTTTAGTGTTTTCATGATGATTATAGCAAGTACAGTTTTTATTAAAAATGTGAAGAGCTGAGCACACTTCTCCTCCTTCTCTCTCTAAAGTAGGGAGAAATCACTAATTTTGTGGAAGCTAAACCAAAGAGCAACTTCTCCAGGTGGATGAGGTGAGAAGGGCATCCCAAATATCACATCTTGTTGGCAATCTTAGGAGAGTTTCCAAAAATGTTTTTGGTAATCCTGCACCTTTTTTTTAGGCTGATTCTTTGTTTTTTTAAGAACAACTTTATTGAGATTTAATTCACAAACTATAAAATGCACCCTTTAAAAGTACATTATTTGATAGTATTTAGTACATCCAAAGGATTTTGTAGCCATCACACTAATTTTAGAACATTTTCATCACCATAAAAAGAAACCTAAGACTTGTCAACAGTCACTGTCTATTTTGCCCCTTGTTTCACTAGCCCTAAGCAACCATTGACTGATCTATTTAGTATTACTATTGATTTGTGTATTCTGGGTGTTTCACATTAATGGAATCATGTAATGTATCCCTCATTATTTTTTAAAAAAATTTAAATTTGTTTTAATTAGTTATACATGACAGTACAATGAATTTATACACTTTGTTATATCATATATAGATGGGATATAACCCTGTTCTTAATAAGGTTCTGGAAAACCTATTTATGATCTATCTTTAAAAATCACCTCTAATATTTCAAATTTATTACAGTATTTTCTTCTTCTTTTTCATTACCTGTACATCATAAATACTTTTAAATATCCATATTAGCTCATACTGTATAGAATGATGTATTGCAGATTTGTAAGCTTTCTGACAACAGAATTTGACTTCAAAGGACAATGAAAGCAAAATGCCTGCTTGAACATCAGCTGACTTTGAAAAGGGAATGACTACAATATGTTTAATTACACAGATGGGTTTTGCATTATCTTCTGAATACAGAATAAGAAAACTACGCTTTTAATATGTGATTTAGAAACATCATCTATTTTGTTTCTATTATTACACTATCTTCAACTTAACCCATTCATGTTTGTATTAAGGAACTAATGATATGGGGTGATTGGTTAAAAATACAATATTTAATGTTGGCTTGCCTAAAGAAATTATAAGAATTGAATGATGTATGTTAATTTTTGTTATTCTTATGAATTTTTTATGTTATTGAGATACTTACATAGTAAGCCTTAAAAATTATTGTATAAAGCAGTGTTCTAAAAGTGAACTTTAAAGTTGAAAAATCCAATGGCAAATCTTTAGGGAAAAAAGCACTAGTATCTAAAGTAAGAGTAGCCAAGTACTGAGTTATTTTGCAATAGAATTCATAATGAGAAAGTTTGTTACTTTACTATCCTTCATGGTTTTACAATGTAGAATTTCCTGTAGGCATTTGGGAAGCTTTAATTTTCAGATGCAACACATTTTGTTTTCAGTATTTCTCTGTGTTATGCCTTTTTCCATTAAAATTGTACTTAGAGAACTTCAGATTTTTGCATATTGTGTCTCAGAATGATGAGTGAAAGCATTCAGTAAACATAGTAGACATGGGCTGGGGTGTAGCTCATTGGCGGAGCACTTGCCTAGTATGTGTGAGGCACTGGGTTCAATTCTCAGCATCACATGTAAAAAAATAAATAAAATGAAGATACATAGGCAACTAAAAAGATAAAATAAAATATATTTTAAAACATAATAGGGCATAGACTCTGGAATCAGACTACTTCCATTCAGCTCTCAGACCCACCTATTTCTAGTGGTCTAACCTTGTGCAAGTGACTTAACTTCTTGTGCTTCAATTTTCTCAACTGCAATGTAAGGATATAAACACCCATTGAAGAGATCTTTCAGGAAGATGAAATGATATATGTATATATAATACTATATATAAAGTTCTTAGCATACGGTCAAGTGCTTCATAATAGTTATTTTCATCCTCTTGTGGTATAGGTATAGAAACAATGTAAAATAGCAGAAGTAACTAATGAATTGTCCAACTATGAATTTTGGTTATTTTCCCTCTCATTCAGTGATTGTTTATATAATGATAACAAATCTCTATCTTTCCAACTTAGCTTTCTGTATATATCAAATGCTGTTTAGAATGATTTTTATAAAATACAGACATATTGCATTAAAAATCAATAAAACAAACAACGACTGTTGCATTACAATGTAGTGATTAGGAAATAAATACTCTCTATTACTAAAGCCTTTTTAGAAAACACAGTAAAAATGAGTTTATATTTCTTGGCTTTAATAGCATTCTTTCTCTTTCCCTGTGCCAGGGTTTTCCAGGTGACTTTGGAGACAGGGGCCCTGCTGGTCTTGATGGCAGTCCTGTGAGTACATTGTGATGGTCCAGGCTTACATTTCAACATCATTTATACTCCATCTGCACTTGCCATCTTCAGTATTATATTTCTGAATAAACAGTATCAATAAATTTTCATATCACTCTGCATACACTAAATTGAGAGTTTTCAACATGAGAATTAAACGAAAAATATTCTTATACAGTTTTTTATGACAGTCATTAAAATTAATTATTTTATCCATGATGAGTGTCACTGCTGAAGTAAAATATTAAAAATATATGATCACAACACTGACTTTTTTATATGAAGGTACTAACAAGGTCATGTAAAACATGTGCACTCAGACCTGCCACTTATCCACCTTACTTCTTAGTATTTTATAGAAATCTACTTTAGAATTTTTTATATGTCAATGCTCAGATTGGGAAAGAGTTACCATTCTAAACTAGTTTAATTATAGTATTAAGGAATAATGATGGATTGTTGTTTTTTACACTGGGTGAAATAGCTTCATTTTTTGCCTTCAAAGAGCATCTGATAGCTGTTCTCCCATCTATGCCAAATTCTTTTCATGAGATTTTAGATTGAAAGAATCACCTGCAAAATCCTGATAGCATGAATTAGGAATAGTTCCTAGAGTTAAATAAGTAAACGCTTTCATCAACAGTTTGAAAGTAATTTCTTTTTAAATCTCTTTCCAAATTATAACTATGTAGCTAATTCAGTGAACTCAGATGAGGCTTCATTTGTTACAAATCATTAAAGATAAGAGAAGAATAGAACTGATTTACAAATAAGTTGTTAAAAACTTGGATGATATTTTAAGTGGAATATTTGCCATCTTTTTTTTTTTAACACATGATTCTGGGTAGCTTCCCATTTCAAGAATAATAAAGTAAGTATTACTTAGGTTTTTAAAAAATATCATTTGTGTGTTTGCATACCTAGTATGAAACAATCTTATTTAATTTTTGTCAACTATATATACATTAAGTCTAGTAGGGCTGGATTCATAATATTTAAAACTTTCTTTTTGATATCTGCTCTTTATTTTAAACATATAATGCTTCTTGAGGAGCATTTTTGGATCTTTATTTGTAAGAGTAAATTGCATATTTTTAGTTTACTGTTTCATAATTCTCTGTATATTATGTCTTTGGTTCAAAATAATTTGAAATGCAAGGGGTGTGGTTATTCTTATACCTTGGGCCACATAAAAATAATATGACACTGACATATTGTGTTCTTTCAAACAATGAAAACAAATATCATTTCTGCTTTATAAATAATAAAAATGAAGTTAGAAAGTTAAAAAAAGATTTTTCAAAAGAGGTGACTGTTTTAAACCATCTCTTCGTAATCTTGTATGCTGACCGTATGCCTTCTCATACAATATGTAAGCTAGTTATGTCTATAGTACTGCTTGCTGGCAGCGTTCACTTCTTTTATTAAGTACATAAAAGGAATAATAATTCTGTATCCTATGCTTGGTGGTAGTGCTAGCATCCAAAATCATGCAGCCAACGATACTTCTGAAGAACAGTAAATTGGCTCCGCAAATTTGCACTCCTCAGGAAGAAGCATGAATAAAGGAATTTCAGAAGTTAATGATAGTAGAAAATAAATTTTATATATTCTTTCTTAGAAATTGTTCCCTTAATCATCAGAAAATACCTTTAGTTGTTTGTAATCATATTTAATTAATTTTATTTTTTATTAGTTGCACATGACAATACAATGATCTTGACATATCATACATTTGAATCAAATGAGGTATAATTTCTCATTTTTCTGAGTGTACAGGTTGCAGAATCACATTGGTTTTACAGACACGTACATACATACAACAATAGTAGTGTCTATTTTATTCTGCTGCCCTTTCTATCCCTCCTTCCCTTCCCCTCCCCGCCCATCACTTCTCTCTACCCAATCTAATTTAATTAATTTTATATATTTCTTTTACAATAGGGGCTTGTAGGTGGGATCGGTCCTCCTGGGTTTCCTGGGCTTAGAGTGAGTATCATCACTAAATACTATCATTGTCATGAAACATTTTATTGAATAATTTATATTCATTAGATGTATTTTAAAAACGTAGGAAAATAAGTTTTACTGTCATTGTTGATATCAGCCTTATTCAATGTATTTTTCAACCAGATAAGAAAATTATAGCAGTAGTATAAATGAAAACATTCATCATATTTTATGATATGCTAAAATAATACTTGTTTTTCCATTCCAATTGTGTTCATGTATTTATGCCTGTTAGATTAAAGATCTTAGTCAGGACTCAGTCTCTTAAAAAATATAAGACATGCAATAGCCACTTTTTTCCTTTGAGATAATCTTCCACACCATCCAATTTGGAGATTGACTTGAACAAAAACACATGATAACTATAGACTTTATTTTGTGGTATAAAATTGAACAGATGGTTAGGAAAGTCACCTTGAACAAAGGTAGAAGCTAGACTTCACCAATGCCATTAAACATTTTAATACCTAATTGATATGCTAAAAAATACAAGAAACTATTTGTCCACTTAGCCAGTTTTTATACAGTGTTTTTCTCAAGGCACAGTTTAGCAGGAATAATTCTGTGGAGGCCAAAACAATGTAGTCCAGATATGTAGCTTTCAAATAAATTTTAGATTATTCATTGGAGTGAGCAGACTGCTACTTACAATACAGCTTCATAAATAAATATATTTCTCTCAGCAAGCTTATTATTCGTGATAGGGGTATAAAATTCAGATATTTTATATAAATTTATAGCCTAAGTTTTAGCATTCAGTTGAGGTAACGGCAGGATTGATACGTGTTTATTAAATGTAAGTAGCCTAATGAGAAGAGAATCTTAAAAAAAAAAGTTTTCATTAGTACATTATTCATAATAGTGGGTTTTGTGTTTCTAAATCTTACTAGTTCTTTTTAGTTATATATGACAGTAGGATTCATTTTGATATAATTATAGAAGCATGGCCTATATCTTATTCTAATTCAGTCCTCAGTACCTCTCCTTCCCCTTTCCTTCCCCAACCCTCTGATCACTTCCCTTTACTGATCTATCTGCCATTTACCCAATGTTTTTTTTCTTAATTAATTTCTTGTGGATATACACTGTGGTATACTAATATATATACATAGGATTGTTATGTCAGATTCATTCCACTGTCTTATCTTTTTCTATCCTTCCTCCCTTTCCTTCATTCCCCTTTGTCTAATCCACTGAACTTCTATTGCCACCTGCCATTATTGTGAGTTAGCTTCTACACATCAGAAAAACATTTGACCTTTGCGTTCTTTGGGGAATTGGCTTATTTCACTTAGCATGATAGCTTTCAGATACATCCATTTACTAGCAAATATCATAAAAATCATTCTTCTTTATGGCTGAGAAATACTCATTATGTATATATGCTACATTTTCTTAAAGCAAACTATCTATATCTGTATCTATATTTATACAAAAGTGGGATGTGATCAGTAGCAGAGGTAAAATTTTCCTTAAAAATTTAAAGCTTGCTTTAACTTATGAAGTAGGTTATTAAATCTCCAGAATTTTATACCATAAATTACACCCATAATATTTTTAGACCAAATTTGGACATAGGTCTTCGGGCTTATTTAGTATTTTTTCTCCAGCCTTGAATTGCCTCAAAGCACAAGGTAACAGCTTGATCAAATAAATAAGTCAAGACTTCAGTTATTGGTACTGGGGTAAAATTAAAGTCAGCCTAACAAGTTTTAATGTGCCATCTTGGGATGACATGCATATAGGATTTAGACTCAAGAAGGCTAAGTGAGTCTAAGACATCTTAACCTTTCTCTTGCATGTTAGTAATATTAATAGTAGTAGTAATTATAAAATTAGCAATAGCATCTCACATACATTGTTGTCATATAATTCTCCAAACAACCCAGGACCAGTTAGTTTATAAGTATTTAACCCAGATTTAAGCCAGATAATCAAAGTCCATAGTCCAAAATTTTGTGTGCTTTACCACTTCCTTAAAATTTATTCTTCCTTTATGATATGCTAAAATAATAATTGTTTTCCATTCCAATTGTGTTCATGTATTTATATCTGTTAGATTAAAGATCTTAGTCAGGACATAAAGTGTATATTGTCTAACTCATGAAATTTTTTAAAGTCTTAGTAAAGATGGAATGAATCAGTTTGCTTGTTTGTGTCCTCAGGATAGAAAAAAGCCTGTAAGCAGCAGTCAGACCTTATCAATGGGTAGGTGAAAGGAGTTAGACTAAAATATGCAGTTAAAAATTCTTAATTAATATATTAATCTTAAGTTGATTAGCTAAAAACTTCTGTAATTACTCTTAGGGTTAAGACCAAAATTAATGTGGCCTAGCTTTGGTTGGTTCTTATCTGCATCTTGAGGACATATTCTTTGTGCACAAGAAAAGTTTGTTCACTTTTCAGTAGTGTCTCTATTACAAAACCTTTGCATATCGAATGTCTACCTGAAATATTGTACCTCTAGTTTTCTGCTTAACTCCTTCTTATTGTTATTTATTTGGTTTTATAAAAATACATTTCATTGTGTATATTTGAGATTTACAACATTATATATATAGACTAAAATAGTAATCTTAGCGAAACAGATTAACATATCCATTCATCTCATATAAATTCCTTTTTTTAAAAAAAAAGACTCTTACTCATCTTTCAGCTCCAAGTTGTAGTACAGTTCCTGGCACATGTGCCCAGAAAAAATAACTGGCTTTTCTATCCTTTCTCCTTCTCTACTCACCCTTCAGTAGATGGAAAGAGATTCTACAGAAAATGGAATGGCCAAAGATACTAGCAATCATATTTGTAATTCTCATCTCATCTACATTGGTAAAGACAGAACTTTATACTTTTCAAAGTCATTTCACTTACATAGTCATTTGCTCCTCAAAGAGTTTTAATGTAAATAAGGCAAATACTATTACTTTCATTTCATATTCATTAATTTTTTTAAATCAAAATTATATGAGTACCTGCTGATTTATCAAATTCTAAACAAGGCCTGAAAGTATGAACAAGTTAAGATTCTTTTTACTTTACTTTTTTTTTTTTTTTTTTTTTTGGCAAGGGGTCAAAATTACAATCTAATAACACAGAAAGAGAAACCATCAGTTTCATACATTCTGATTATTGCAACAGTTGACTAAATGCAAAACTACTGAGAAGATAGTAATCTGTTTTGTCTTTGTAGAAGCCTTTTTTAACTGTATCTTAAATATTGTGTATAAGTGAGTAAATGGGAAAGGGAAAAGTGTTCTTTAGGCAGAAGAATGCTATGTTCAAACATACAGAAGATGGGGGAAATAGGAATGTTTGGGAAATGGAAAGAGGAGCAGTGGGATTATAGCCTAGAAAAGCAGGGTAGTCAGGAGCAGAATGGAAGGTGAGGTTTTGAAAGTAATTGGGAATAATTATGAAGAACCTTTACATTGCATAGAACATTTGTCCAGTGTTACAGCCTCCACCTTACCTCTCAGGCATTCCTTTTAGCAGACCTAATAGGTGCTACTACTTTATCTACATTTTTTTTCCATGCACTAGGTAGTTACTGTCATTTGCTTTATCAATTTACAGTAGTAACAATGATTATTGCCTGTTAGTTTGGTGGGTACAGTTGAAAAGCCCAGTGTGGAACTCCCAGTTCTTTCCTCAGTACACTCATATGAACTTTTATTAATTGCCCAGTGGCTGCTCCAGTGCTTGAAAGTATTTCTTCTATCTGTTCCGTCTTCCCATGGAAGAGGAGTGTGATAGGGAATGCTGAAGAACCTTTAGGTTACCTTTATGAGTTGAAAACTTCTCTTCAGCTTTAATGGATTACTATCTGAAGGCCACAAATCTTTGGAACAAGTATTTTCCACATAACTTGTAATATGCTTGGTGTTTCTTGGAAATTCTAAACTTTACCATTCAATTTTTATATACTTTGTATTTTACTAATGTTTTATGACATATTTTTTATATCTCCCATTATTTAGTATTTTATAATTTTTCTCTTAGTGTCACTAAAAAGTAAAATAGAATGTTATACGTACAAAGTACATTCACTTGAAAATGCCAGCTTAAGCACAGTAACATATTTACTGAAATAAAATTTAAAATATTATATTGTCTTTAAAATCCAATAATACACTGTAAAGACTTTTTTCCTTGTTTTGTAAGATATTGCTTTCCAAACTTACATGGATTATTTCTGTATAATTACTAAACAGAGATATTTATTAGGTGTTTTGAAACTATCATAAGTTTTAAAGCTATGAACTGTGAATAACTGTTTCCTATTTAAAGAATTTGGAATTACAAGCAATGATATATTCATATTGCATATTTATTAAGTTGAAAAGAATTATCCTTTGCCTCTAACTGTCCCATACATTTCAGGTTTAAACATGTTGGAAGTAATTTGTCTTAGTTACATTTCTCAGACTTTAAGACTCATCCAAAGTAAAAATGTCATATTTTCCATTCTGAAATTTGTGTTATATAAATGCAGAATATTATAAATGTTCTGTTATGTCGGGAGATAGAACTCTAGAAATTATAAATTAACTAACTTATTCAGTATTCATTCCACATTTTCTTTCAAAACTCCTATGTACCAGTTATTATGTTGAGTCTGGGAAATAAAAAAAATGGATGAAACTTTCTCACAGAATGCACAAATTCAGGGGAGAAAGAGGGAGAAATATACAGTACAGTATTCTAAGTAGGATGCCACCAGGGCCTTCCAGTTCTGAAATCTTCAAAGGCTCAATGCATATGATATGGGAAGCATGTTCCAAGAATAGAAAACAGTCCATTATAGCAAGAAAGTAGAAACTGGGAGAGGGAGATGTACAGGGAGAAAAGGGACAAATGCAAAGTGGGGAGACTAGAAAGTTGGCAGAAGCCTGATAGAGAGGGCCTTGGGATGCTAGCCTGAGAAACGTGAATTCTAACTAAAAGGGCAACACTATAAGAATTTCACAAATACAACTATTTGGTTTTTTGTTTTATTTTGTTATGTTTTGTTTTTTATAAGTTAGGGATTCAGTATGTTTCCCAGGCGGGCCTTAAACTCAGGTACAAGCAGTCCTCTTGTCTCAACCTCCAGAGTAGCTAAGACTACAGGCACATACCATCATGCCTGACTACAAATAAAACTTCAAAAGTTTTTTTAACATTTGAAAACCATAGAGGAAAGATTTATAACTGTTTTATCTTTCAGGGCAAAGAATGATATGGGACCCAGGACAGATGAGAGAAAGAGGGAAAAAGAGGCTCAGTGACACAAACTATACCTGATCTCCAAACCATCAAGGGATTTTTTTGCCCATATTTTTTTTTTCAAATTTTTCCTTCAGATACTCCTTTGTTGCTATTTGTCCTTTGTTTTCTAAGAGGATATGTTGAGGGAGTTGTTCTATATTTTTAGCTTGTGGAGACAATAGTAGTACTTCTGTTTTTAAGGAATTGAAACATTAAGTTGAGAACCTTGATGACAGACACTCTACCTTTTATTGTTTCTTTAAAACTATAATGTTTTGCATGTATTATAATCAATAAGTATTAAGTGATGAATTAATGCTGTAAATCCATAAAATACAACTTTGTGTCTATTGCTTTATTTATCCTTAAAAGCATTATAAATTTTCTCATTCTGCAATTTTCAAATCACAGATCAAATCATTGTAATGCCTGGCACATAGTAACAGCTCAGTGAATATTTGCTGAAATGAGCAAATTAAAATTCTAAGATAAATAAGTGAAGTATTTATTGACTACTTCCTGGGAGCATGACACTAAAATATTTCTACCTAGATGTTTCCTATTTGGAGAAATATTACAAAATGAACATCATGAACAATAAGTGGGTGTTCAAAGGAGAAAAAGATCCTTATAGGCCAGATAAGTATGAGAAGAATTAAAAAAAATAGGATGGTTTGCATGAAAGTATAAAAGATTGGTAATATTTAAAATGTACAGGGTTTAAGAGATAGTTGAAGAACAGGACACTGTGGGAGCTTAGTGAGATGAACTGCTCTGGGTTCATTAGTTTATTAATTAATTTTCCCATATTCTTTCTAATCCTAGTGAATGCTTACTGATTCCTTTTTTTTTAAACTGCTTTTCAGGGCAATGTTGGTCCTGTGGGACCGATTGGACCTTCTGGAATTCCTGGCCCAATGGTATGGTTCTCTATGAATAACGGATATTTCCCTTTAATCTCTCCATGATATTAAAAGATATCACCTTTTTCTTTTTCTTTTTTAGGGTCTTTCAGGAAATAAGGGGCTACCTGGAATCAAAGGTGATAAGGTGATTTAAATATTAACATTACCATAGTGATATTTCTACACATGTCTTTTTTACCAAATCAACAGAACTTAAGTTTCTAGAAGAGGTTACATATTTAGAGAAATATTGAAAGATGAATGTCACCTCATGAAATATCTCAAAATTTTTATCCATAGCATCTATACTATCAATTATATTAATTTTTCTTAGAAGGAGGAAAAATAGAGAAATTTTTCTTCTATAATTAGTACTTTTTTATAATATTGTCATATTTATAATTTTTATGATTCTGTATGAATTGTACTCTAGGGTGAACAAGGCATTGCAGGGGAACCAGGAGAACCAGGATATCCTGGAGACAAGGTAACTTGTATACCATTAAATTTTTTTATTTATTTTGTTTTTTGGAACTAGGGGTTGAACTCAGAGGTGCTGAACTCAGAGGTGCTTTATCACTGAGCTCCATTGCTAGCCCTTTGTATTTTTAATGAGACACAGAATCATTAAGTTGCTGAATCTGACCTCAAACTTGCCATCCTTCTGCCTCAGCCTCATAATTCACTGGGATTATAGGCGTGTACCAACGTTTCTGGTCTCAACCATTAATTTTATATAAATGTGAAAAAAACAAATTCAAAATAAAGGAGTACTCGATATTTTAATTATCTATTTTGTTAGGATATGGTATTAGTATGGTTTTAAGTCCTTGTTTGGAATTGGTTTTCTAAATTTTACTTAAAATACTCCCATGAATGTTCTTGTAGTTTACTAATAGAGATATTTGCGTTTTGTGATATAATAGTTTTCTTTTCTCTCTACTGTTCTCTTTCTTTAGGGTACTATTGGTCTGCCAGGACCACCAGGCATCAGAGGAAAGCCAGGACCTTCAGTAAGTTTTAACTTTCACCTTTGTTCTGATTAGCAGAGTGCATGTCATGGCATGAGAATTGATACTTTTGATGTTGGTAGAATATAAGAAGTAGGATATAGCTCAACAGTTTTAGAACATAGCTAAACTGAACCTTGTTCAGTTTTAGAACATAACTAATTCCTCAGGTTTTCATCTCATATTCCATAGACGCTCCAACCTTCCCTACCCTAGGCCAAAGCCAAGTTTCTTTGATCCCTAAAGATCTTGATTAAATTATTCCTTCCAATGATTTATTATAGACTACTTAACAAAACAATGGGCTTTTAAATCAGAAATTTTAAAGCACTCTAAATAAGTTTTCTAAATCAGTATCATTAAGGGAATATTTCTGAAAAAAAAAAAAAGAACATGTCACATTGTTGTAGCCCAAGTGTTCTAATTCCCTGTTGTTTTTCTAACCTTCATGCATTAACTAGTTGAAAGGAAAAGACACTTTATGTTGCAGTTAACATATAGTTATATTTATAAAACTTAACATATAGTTAAATTTATAAAACTAAAATTATTTAATAATTAAACTAGAATAATTAAAGCATGAGTCAAAAAATATCTCAATATTAAAAATGATAATTGTTATAGTTAATATTTATTATTTATAAAGTTTCAGGTGGTATTCTAAGAATTATACATCTCATTTAATACAACAATCCTGTGAAGTTGGTACTCTTATTACTCCTGTTTTATAGATTAAGGATATTGAGACACAGGGCATTAAGTAACTTTCCCAGGGTCTTATAGTCACTGACCACCTGGGAAGACCTAGGTTATCAGGAATGTTACAGCCTATGCTTTAACCACTGTACCATACTATTTTAGGGCTTAATATTTTAAGATTGTTTTAATATTGATTACAACTCTATAAAGATGTAGATGATATTAATTAGAAAAATTAGAATTAAAATATACATTTAAAAATATCACTTTCCTGAGCAATTTATTGTGTTGCCTCTAACTCCACAATGTCATCTAAGGATTGTTCATTTCTCATCTCCTGAAGCACTATTTAGAAATTTAGGCACTCCCTTCTTTGTAACATCTAATTGTGACAGCATGTGTGTATGTGTGTATATATGTAAATGTGTGTGTGTGTGTGTGTGTATTTCCATACAAAAACAAATTTTGGGATCTCTTTTTCTGATGGCATGTTGGTGGGCAACCTTTGCTTTTTTTGTTTAAATGTCTTTATTTTGTTTATTTATTTTTATGTGGTGCTGAGGATCGACTCTGGTGTCACACGTGTGAGTCAAGCGCTCCACCACTGAGCTACAACCCCAGCCCAGCAACCTTTGCTTTTACTGGTTTTTTTATCCTGGGCTTATGGCAGTCAACCCAATTAATCTTGTATCCCAGAATTGTGCCCTAGAGTCAAATCTTAGTAATTTCAAAGTGTATAAATAGGGCATGAGAATCGGTCATGAAGCTAAGTAACAAATAGCTTATGTTTTTCAAGGATGATTCTAAACAATATAATAGAATATAGAATAGAGTATGTATGAGAGATGGAGATTTGGTTTCTAGTTCTCAACTCTGACATTTGACCTGCCATGATCTTGTCATTGATTTACCATAGATCCGATTTCTCATGTTAGAATATGTATGTTTCAGAATTCCTGTAGCTCTGTGACTCTATGATATTTCTGTCTCTTAGTAATAGTGCCTACTACTATTGCTATAATCTAAAGAAAAAGTCAAAATACCTTATTTTACCTCTGTGTTGGTCAGCTTTTCATCACTTTGACCAAAATATACAAAATAACAACTTAGAGGAGGAAAATTTTATTTTGGCTTAAAGTCCCAGAGATTTGGTCGGCCAAGTCCATTGTTCTTGGTTCAAGGTGAGACAGAACATCATGTTGGAAGGCCATGGTGGAGGAGCATGACTCCATTCATGGTAACCAGGAAGCAGAGAAATGGAAAAGGAAAGGACCACAGGGAAGATGAACCCTTCCAAGGCATGTCCCTGGATGAACCCTTCCAGGGCATGGCCCACCTCCTCCAGCCATACCCCTTGTGCCTGCAGTTACCACCCAGTCAGTGCATTCAAACTGGATGGACTGATTAGGTTATAGGTCTCACTATCTAATTATCTCACCTCTGAATATTCCTGCAATAACACAGGAGCTTTGGGGGACACCTCATATCCAAACCATAACAACCTTCATCATTGTCGTAATATTTTTTTCCTAAAAGAAATCACAGTAAGTGCTAATGAGGTTCTTTTAGGGCAGAGAACAAGAGATGGTAATAATTAGGATTTTACTGACTTCATACTCATTTTATACCCTTCTGTACTATTCTAAAAACATTAATAGCCAGGATTACTTTGGTAGGGAGATAATTGACAATTTTTGTTACTTTTATCAAACCTTTGAAAAATATTTACTTTCAGCTCAAAATTGGGTGGAGACTCGTGATTAATATTAGTAAAATGAACTTGTCTTTGGTCTCTCACTGTATCCTTTGTATTAATACAAAAGATGTTTAACCTAGATACCTTCCCTCATTAAGGAAGGAGACTCCTACTTGATGAAGTATTGCCTATACAGAATCAGTTATTAAGAAAAAACTTACATACCCAATTATACAAGTTAGTACCTACTAACTATCATGGAAAAAATGCTAAAGTTATATGATGTCTTTCATATTTTATATGTCCTGCTTTTGGTTTTCTTTCATCAAAGATTTTGATGTGACTGGAATTATTTTCAAGTGGATCTAAGTTATAATATGAAAGAATATTTTCTAGATATAAGAATTTCCTGATCTGGGAGGTTTGTACATTCTGGAATAAGGAAGCTTTTGTTCTTCAAGTATTCAAAAAAATAAAAATAGAGAAAACTACCACTCTGAAAGTGTTAGAAAATACTCTTTCCCTGAGATAGAGAAAAAAGACAATTATAACTTCTTTTCCATTTTTAAATAAGAAGTCTTTGTCATTTATAAAGATGTACCTAATGTTATTTCATCTCTAAGTTACTTGAAAACTCAAGTTTTTGTGAAGGAAAGGTGACATTTACAATAAACTTGCAACTGAGGTTTTATAAAACAAAGAATTATTATTATTATAATGAATAAAATTATTCCACAATTTATGTTTTTAAATATTTGGTTGTTACTTAACTTTTCTGAAAACAATGGCTAGGCTAGTCATTTTTCCTAAATGCTTGTGAAGTTAGGGTCTGGCTGGATTTTGCCACTAGAGGTCCCCAGTGAGAACTCCATCTCTGAGAGGGATACTTGTCATTTTTAGAATTTAAGACTCCCTATGTACCGATTCTGATGAATCACAGTTTTTGTTTATTTGGAACTGAGAACTTAAATGGGTCTTTGAATGATATTTCATTACCAGACTCTGGATGTGATTGCAGTAGTCGTGTCCTCTTTTACATCCAGGTACCTTAGCACTGAGAATTGAATCAGTACATATAGGAAATTGTGCTCTGTTCTTTAAAAATGTGTAATCTTATATTGCAACTTGTAGTTTTATGTGATCTGAAGTCCACTTAAATCAAATTTGAAGCTCAAATACAAATTTAATATGAGAAAAATAATGAATTCAATAGTTTTTCTTTCATAACTAAGGGTATCCTTAGACTACTGACCTTCCCTTTTCTGAACTTTATCTCTTGAGAGCTTTGTCAGCCTTCTCTGGTTTCAGGCTTTATACCACTTCTTTTTCCTTTCCATCCCTGATTTCACATATGAATGTCTTCTAAAATACTGAAATCAAAATCTTCAAACTTTAATTAGAGGATCACAACCATGTAGGAGTTTCAAATATCAGCCAGAAGAGGAGCAAGGATATGAAAAGAGAGATAAATGATTTTAAACTTGGTTAACGTTTAATGAATATTTATACTTTCTAAGTGCTAGGTACTGTGCTTATCACTTTACATATATTGTCTCATTTAATCCTCAAAACGACTCTATGAAAATGTCAGTAGTGTTGTTATTCCTATTTTACTGATGAGAAGACAGGTTTAGAGAGATTAAGCAACAAGGATTTCAATCCCAGTGAGTCTTAAATATTAAATCAGGACATTAAAATGGGAGAAAAGAATTTTCAGAAACAGTTTAAAGGCTTTGATTATTTAGAAAAGCAATTCTTCATCTAAAATTCCCTACCTCTTTGAGTCAAACTTTATTTTTCTAGCTCTAGGCAACACACACACACACACACACACACACACACACACACACACTTTTTTTCTCTTGATTTGAGCACTTAACTCATAAATTTGTATGTCTAACAGTTAAGAGTAAATATGTATTATCCATAAACATTTTACTTAAATAAATTTCACAGTGATGATAGTTACAAATTAAGACTCTGAAAAGTCATTAAAACTTTGTTGGGCATAATATATTGAATGCTATTTGTAATATACTTGTTTCCTCTTCTAGTTCCATTTATTAAGCTAACATATATATTTTGATTCTCCTCTTCCCTCTTTAGGGTCAATCAGGTGACCCAGGACCCAAAGGACCAATTGGCCCCCCAGGACCAGAGGTAAAATATTGATGGAAAGATAATGAAATTGAAACAATAATGGTGGAAATTAAACAATTGATAGAATGTGTTCTATATTATATAGTAAGCTGAAGAAAATTTTTTCTAAAGTTTAACTCTATAAAAAGTCTAGAGTAAATTGTGTTCTATTAATTCAGGAGATACCCAACAGTGATGAGTGCTCCTAAGAAAATAGTTATTAACTATCCCTTATCTTAAATTTGTGGAATCAGAAGTATTTTACATCTTGTTTTTTTTCAAATTTTGGAATACTTACATATTAATAATGAGCTATCTTAGGAATAGAAACCAAATCTGAACACAAAATTCGTTTTTGTTTCTTATATACTTTATACACATAGTCCAAAGATAACTTTATATACTTTTAGTTCACATGTGTTTTGACTGTGATAGGGGATCAGGTATGAATTTTCCAATTGTTGTACCATTGTTGGCTCTCAAGAAGTTTCAGATTTTGGAATATTTCATATTTTAGATTTTTATATTAGGAATGTTTGACCTATATTAGCCTCATTTTCATCCTGATCATTCCATAGCAGATGTATTTGTTCCACAAAGCCATCTATTAATAACACATACTTGTAGCGTGAAATCAAATTCTGGGACATAAATTGAAATATTAGTGCAGAATTCTTCTAATTCTTGTTATATATGCATGTCATTTGTATCTCATATTTTAGAATAAACATAATTAAGTCTGCACTACATATATCAAATTTGCTTGTATATTCTTTAAAATTTGGACTTTGGTTTTATGCTTGATATAGAACAGCTTTCTTTTCTGTAAGTATGCATAGATTGTGAGCTTCTGAGATAAAACATTTGGACTTTTTAAAATCTATTACGTGAGTTAAAGCTTCTGAACCTTACCCTAGTCTTGGGTATACATACCAAAATATACACACGTGCATGCACATACATACACATCTAATTCAGACTAGTTGCAGTAGTAAAACTGAGGACATGAGTTGGCTTCAGAATAAATAAATCAGAGTAGTGTCCCAATAGTGGCAAAACAGTAGGCAATTTCAAGGATAGTTATAGACTGATGCCTTCTCCCTCTCTTTGTAAAAGATGAAATCCACTACTTATTCCATTGCTGTTTGGGGAGACTTACTAACTTCTTTAACTAATTAATGTCTTTATTTCTAATTTAAAAACACCTTCCATAATGATAGTTCAAAAATCTAAAAAACTACATTATACCTACTTTTATTGATAAAAAGGTAATAGGAAGTAAAACACAGCAGCATTTTAATGTCATCATTCTGAGATGGAGGAAATTGTCTTCAGAATAATAAAAATTTATCTCTTTCTAAGAACCTACATTCTTTCATTTTTAAGCACTTTTAATGAAAACTCTTCTTAAATAAATAACATTTGCCTGTCTTCTCATATTAAAGATACAGAATCTAATTTAACTTTATTTTAAAAGGTTATCATAATGACTGTGAATTGCTAAGTTAAACTACAATTACAAGTGGTATATGCCCTAGGAAGGACTGTGTGAATTCCTGGTTTTCTCTTGATTTTGGGCTATTTTCTTCTTTCACATAAAGCTTGATTAAGGATGTATGAACTATGTTTTCACTTGCTGCTTGGTCTTACAAACATGTTTCTTTCTTCTCTGTATCCTTTGAAATGTTAGGATCTGCCCTCAACATTTAAAACATTGTCTCCATGATTTTGTTTCTGCACTACTAATAAAAGATCTTGAGCCCCACCGTGTCAGACTATACTCTATACAATTCTTCAGCTTCACCTGTGTTTTCATAGACCTGAAGATATAATCTGTTCTCTCTCATGAATTAGTATGAGATTGTTTTGGGGAACAAGACCTAATCCAAGGAATATGACTTCTTCTAGCTCATAAAAATAGAACACAGGCAACCATACATGAGGCAATACATTTATCCCAACTTTCTCAACCTTAGGCTTTTAATAGATTTGCAGGTGCAAAAATTTAATGTAATATGTTTAATAGAAAATCAAAGCTATAAGTTTCTACTTGAATAGTGGATGAATTTTCTCAGGTAAATTATGTATTGTGCTAAATTTAGATTTTATCTTGTAGGCATTGACCAAAGTTTTCTAAGCAAGTGAATAGAAGTATGAGACTTGTGCTTCATGAGACATATATATGATAGCCAGAAGGATAATAAAGGAGGGAGGAGAAACCAGGAAAAAAAGTATATAGAAACCGAAGACCTGACTCTAAGAAGAGTAGATTAGAGATACATATTAGATAATCATCTACATAGAGATTACATGAAGTAATTGTAATAGGTGAAATTGTTTCAGGAAAGTTCTTGATACTAGGTATGAAAATACTATATCTGGACACTCACACCCAGAAGGCTTCAGTTTTAAGTTGGTAATAAAAGGGCAATAAAATAAATTTTGGCAACTGAAAAGCATACTCCTAAGTAATTCATGGACTGGAGAGAGAGGAAAACCAAATCACAATGGAAATTTAAAAACACATAGAACTGAATAAGTACAAATCACTGTAAAAATTTGAGTGTTGCACCTAAATCAACACTTAGAGGGAAATTTATAGACAAATTCATGAAAAGCAAGGAAGATTAAAAACAAAAATGAGTTACACTGACCATAAGTGTGGGGATTTGTTTCAAAGGGAGAATGAGTTTGAAAGACAACAAATAGGATAGGTTCTGTGTTTTTGCAAGTAGGACACTTAAGTCCCAGAATATAATATAATATGATGGAGGGAGAATCTTGAGGACTTCCATGAAAACTGAGTAGAGGAATGAGTGAGGGCTTATAAAATATTTCTGAATTGTGTTAAGGTTGAGACTTTTTTCCAAAATATGGCCAAAAATTCTTGTACATTTTATTAAAGATGGATTTTGATTTAAACTCCAAATTCCTACTGGCCATAGCAATGAAATACATCAGCTATATGATTCTCCTCTCACTTGGATAATAGCATGTTCATTGTTCAAAAGGAGGATAGCAATACGTGACATTAAGTCTCTGTGATTTTCGTTTGTCAGTATAGATTGACATCATACTACCAAACTATAATTCAATAAAAGTAATTTTATTAGAAGTCAAAATTATGAAGTTTAGGTATATACTCCTATGACAGTTTTTGTTAATTAGCTGGCAATAAAATGTTTAAATTAAAATCTAAAAAATAATACAGTATTTTAGATTTAATATATTTTGAATGTAAGTTGAGGAATTAGCCTGAGTATCATAAACTCTATGCCTTTCTTCTTTTTTATAATGAAACTATTAATAGTACCAAACTCATAAAGTTGATGTTTTATACACATTAATACATGTAAAACACTTCAGTATCTGGTTAATAGGAAGCACTTAATAAATATTAGCTACCACCATCACTGTCATCAATGTAGGACAAAGGAACTGTCTGTACCCATGACAAGTTTCAGAAAGCCTGGTTGGTTCAAGATGAAAATCATGCCAGAGTAACTGGTGTAAATGAAATCGAAAGTTATATATAGTGAAATTGGAAATGTATATGGGGTATATCATGTAGTACTTTGCAGAAAATAAGGAGAAACTGGATTTTGTTTTAAGTGCAGTAGGAAACCATTGAAACTTTAACATGCAGTAGTATGATCTTACTTGATTTCACTTTTAGAAGGTTATTTTTACTGTTGTGTAGATATGAGAGAATGAGGAGAAAGAGTGCTGAAAGCACTTTGAAAAGAGATGATTTAAGGATATTATTTTAGTTTTCTGGGTACAACATGATAATATCTTGCAATAATGTTGTAGAAATAGAGAATGAGCTTGTTTAGAAAAATGGTAATTTCAGTTTTAGACAATAAAGCTATGTAGCTTTAGAATTATGTTTTTCTATCTTTACCATTCATTGTTATCACCTACCTGAGGAACTTAAAAAAAAATACAGATGCCCAGAGTCAATCCCAGTAGTGCTGAATCAGAATTACTTGGAGGTACTCCATGGTGGTTAACAGTAACAATAAAGAACTACATTTTAACTTTCTATTCTTTTTTTTTCTTTTTTTGCACTCTTTTATTGGGCTTAAGAGTGATTAGTATATAGTAAATTCTTTTTTATTGATTTTAAAAAAAATAAATGTCAGCAGAATGCATTTCAATTCTTATTACACATATACAGCACAAATTTTCATACCTCTGGTTGTATATAAAGTATGTTGACAGCAATTCATGTCTTCATACATGTACTTTGGATAATGATGTCTATCACATTCCACTATCCTTGCTAACCCCCTGCCCCCTCCCATTCCCTCCCACCCCTCTGCCCTATCGAGAGTTCATCTATTGCTCCCATGCTTCACCTCCCTAACCCACTATGAATCAGTCTCCTTATATCAGAGAAAACATTCGGCATTTGTTTTTTTGGGATTGGCTAACTTCACTTAGCATTATCTTCTCCAATGCCATCCATTTACCTGCAAATGCCATGACTTTATTCTCTTTTATTGCTGAGTGATATTCCATTGTGTATATATGCCACATTTTAAAAATTCATTCATCTATTAAAGAGCATCTAGGTTGGTTCCACAGTTTAGCTATTGTGAATTGCGCTGGTATAAACATTGATGTGGCTGTATCCCTTAATATGCTGTTTTTTTAAGTCCTTTGGGTATAGACTGAGGAGAGGGATAGCTGGGTCAAATGGTGGTTCCATTCCCATATTTCCAAAGAATCTCCATACTGCTTTCCATATTGGCTGCACCAATTTGCAGTCCCACCAGCAATGTATGAGTGTACCTTTGGCCCCACATCCTCGCCAACACTTATTATTGTTTGTCTTCATAATAACTACCATTCTGACTGGGGTGAGATGATATCTTAGAGCAGTTTTGATTTGCATTTCTCTAATTTCTAGAGATCATGAACATTTTTTCATATATTTGTTGATTGATTGTATATCCTCTTCTGAGAATATCTGTTCATGTCGTTGGCCCATTTATTGATTGGGTTTTTTGTTTGTT